TTTTCCAGTGCGTGCCACAGCAGGCTCTGGTGTCAGGATGGTCGTGCTGAATGAAGGCGGAGGAGGCTGCCGGCCGCAGAGCTGCTGGATGCGCCAAGCCCGGCGGTGCTTCGGTGGCCTCTCGAGGTGTGAAGTGCGCCACTCAGTGGGCAAGCTGTGCATGCAGTGGAGACGACTGGCCCAGCCGAACATGAGGAGACAGCGAATGGTCCTCCCTGGAGCCAAAGCAGCAACGGAAGGGTCAGGTGGTTGTCCTGAAGAATGTCATTCCGGAAACGGAAAGGCAGAGTCAGTCCTTCTGGAGTCCACCTCCACAAGGGAACCAGGTAGAAGGAGGGAAGTTGGAAGCACCATGTCTTCAAAAATGTGAAAACAAGACCCAAACCGAGGGAAGAAGGAGCCTCCCGGCCACAGAGCCAGCTTGTCCTTCTGAAAGGCAAGGTCCTGGCAAGGGTCGCGGAGCTCACTCGCTCTGTGGGCAGAAGACAGAGCAACCAGGAAAAGCAACCCCTTGGCTGGAGGTGGCTGCGGCAAACGGCACAAAGGGTTTCAACATCAGTTGGGTCAGGACTGATGCTCCGAGGAGGAACCGGGGGAGTTGTTGGTGGAGAGAGAGTCAGAGCATCTTTAAGAGAATGCTTTAAGCATGGATGGGTGAAAACTGACCATCCATCGGTTCTGCCACGGTTGGCCAGGACTGTGGCTAGCTGGGATCTGAGGGAGGGGAGCTCCAGGCTCTTAGCCTAGAAGGAAGACCAGGGTAGCCAGTAAGCCAAAAGATGCTGGATCTAGCTAAGCTGGAGCGAAGAACACCAGATCTTTTTTCACACTGGACAGCGTAAGAGTACAAGTGGAAGGTTTACCTAAGACTAGGAGCAGCTCCAAGACTTGAGCCACGCACGAGGCCTTGAGGCACAGAGGCTCTAGGTCTGATCATGGCTTCATCAATTAGGACTGGTTCCGCAGGCAGCAGCTGTGACTGAAGAAATGACATGAAGCCAACACAGGGTTCTTCGAATGGACTGAGCCGATCACCCCATAGCTTGCTCATGACTCTCATAATGAGAGGGGAGGGGAGGTCCTTTCCCAGCAAAGCAGAAAGGCAGCCTGACAGTTCGCTGATTGCAGCCACCCTAAGATTGAAGAGGGGGCATTTTGCATTTGCGTCAGTAACACGGAAGTCTATTTTGTAAAAGTTTTCATCATGGTCTTGTTCAGTTCCCATCTGCGAGGGGGAACCGTCGATCAGCTGAGGGTTTCTGCCAGAACACGGGATGGCCCTGCCACGTGTGTGGCAGATGATGCGATAAGGTGTTGGCCGCAAAAATCCCAGAAATCACGACGGGAACGGACCTCGTATTAAGCTATTTATGTAGAAGATGACGGTAGCATTGCCAGTTGCTTTTGGAAATATGTCCTCCGAATATGGGTTCAAAAGTCCCAAGGGCCTTGGCAACCATGAGTAGCCTGACTTGATTTGTGTATCATCTGTGTCTGTACCGGAGTCCTCTGGGTATCAAAAACCAGCAGCAATGGGCTGCCAGCTTCATTTGCTCATGTGGAGGCCGAAGGTTTGCAGAAGATTCAGAGCAGTTTTTGAGGGGAGCTGCAGTGGTGGGCAAGCTGGGCCAGTCCCGGTGCTGGGAAAAGCCACAATGCACTGGCGCAGGAGGACCAGGAATCCCCCGATGGGGATGGTGGAGCCAGTCCAGTGCTGCAGCCTTTTGGTGGCAGTGAGCATTCATGTGCTGTGGCGACGTTGGAGAAATGGTCTCCGTCTGCTTGTGCTTGTGGGGACCCTGTGGTGATAGTCAAAGGTGCTGTCTGAACTGTTCTTACTGCAAGATGGTAGGCAGGGTTTGGACTGAAAGGACCCGTTCGACTGGAAAGGCAGGCTCTTGTTGGTCCCTGGCCCAGGGTGCTGCCCAGGTGGGCATTGACAATGCCAGTATTGCTGGATGTAGGCTGAGGAGGTTGCTGCGGATCCGTGCTCTACGAGCAGTGGCTGCCATCTGTTGCACCTCCTCCTCCACGTCGTGTGTGTGCATCGGGAGCGGGCCCTTGCTGTCAAACAGGAGGTCTTCTACCCTGGACTTCACCTCTTCACAAAGACCTGACACACGGAGCCAGGGCCCTCATCTTAGGAACCGGGCATCTGCCACAGGTTCTAATCTGACATATGGTGGGTCGACTTGCTGGTCTGTGCTCCTGTCTGGAATATCACCGCAAGGTTACTGACCCCTCTGGGAAGGCGTCCAAAGAATGAGGCTACCCTGTCCCACGGGAATTGTTGGTAAGCCAACACGCAGCCAGATCATTGGCTATCCAGAGGGACAGAGCAGCAGTGTAGAGTCTTGAGCCAGCTGCATCTGACTTGCATCTCAGCTGCATCTGAGTCAATGGGGGAAGAATAGTTTTTTTCCTTTAGATGTTGATAATGCTACTTTACGTACTACTGAATTGGTCATGTCATGCCTAAAGGAGTTCTTCTCTGAAACCTTGTAAAGATTTTCTAACTTCTGAGATGCGTTTTGCCCAGAATTGCTTAATTAGACGGAGCAGAGCAGGAAGAGTGGTTGAGGTGAGCAGTGGTGCCGTGTCCGACTGAGCCCCGACGAGCAGCAGCAGGCCTGTGGCACACGCAGGGGAGCACAATTCTGGGGCTGAGGGATGGGGCTGATCTTAGGACCTGCTAGGCACAAGGTCTGGTGTTATCTGATGACAACAAAAGACTTTGATGGCTTACCATTGGGTCCGGGGAGGATGCTACTTGTTGGGTAGATGAGATGGAAAAGGAGTCAGTGCAATACCTATCTTGCCCTGAAAATAAGTAGTTGGTCTCCTTGGAAGGAGGACAAGGAAAGTTAAATCGTTAGCAGGGAATGAGCAGTGAGCCAGCTAGTTCTTTTGGGATGACATTCTGGGAGAAGTTCCCTTGAAGAGGGGCAAGGCCATGAAATCCAGTTGTGCCAAGGGTCTGGGAGGCTGTGTTGCTGGTGGTTTCAACATGTTACAGGATGTTGGGGGCAGAAGCCTTAGTGAGAGTCAAATGGGGCTCCAATAGGAGTAGTGGGATTACGCAGTATCTCTGCGACCGAACGGAGCCATGGGGGTAAGTGGTCTGCACAGGAGTGAGGAACTGCCTTGCAGTGAGGGCACCTATGGGAACCTCACGGCATACGAGAGTTCTCCTGAGGAGGCTGGTGAAGTCCAAGAAGCACGACAGTGCCAAGCAGATACACATCTTTGCAGAGAGAGATCCCACGTCCAGTGACACGGGCGAGAGAATCACCTCCTGAGCATGAGCCACGGCACTGGATACCATCCCTCGGGAGCCAAGCCATGGGGTCTGAGTTTCTCAAAGACAGGAGTCAGCAGGTGAACGGCATTTGGACTGCAATTCAACCAAAGACAGTTAGGCTCAGGCTGGGTTTTAGTTAGACCCAGGGTCAATTGGATGAGGGGCCTTTTCCACCCAGCTCTGGAGCCCAGGGGCTCACGGGTCGTTTGTTATGGGCCATGGTCTGTTTGAGCTGCTGGGTATTGAGCAGTGGCACTGAAGGACTGGTCCCAAGCTGCTGGTTCAGAGAGAGAGCTGGAGGTGCTGGTGCTGCATCGACTGTGCTCATGGATTTGGGAAGCGATTGGAGGAAACGGAAAGCAGAGCAATGTGCAGGGGCTGATGCTGGGTGACCTCTGCTGCTCTGCGTGCTCTTGCCCAGAGGACGGCTGGGAGGCACGCCGTCTGTTTTCTCCAGCCTGCTTCACAAGTGCAGGAATCCTTTGGGTGGGCCTCCCTCATGCACAGCAGGCATCGGTGGACAGCATTTTTCTGCTAAAGCAGGCACATTTTTTAAGATGGGCTTGAAGGCCATGAGCCCCTAGAGCAGGGGTCTCAAACTCAACTGACCTGGGGGCCGCTGGAAGTAGAGGCTGGGCGAGGCTGGGCCGCAGCAAGTATCCCACCACCGCGGTGGTGGTGGGCCGCTTGTCCCACGTCGCTCCCGGAGGCCGGCCTGGGCACCGCCGGCGCTTTGAAGGCTGCAGGGCCCCTCCCCTGTGCCCCAACTGTCCCGGCAATTGGCCCGTGGGCCACGAGTTTGAGACCCCTGCCCTAGAGGGAGGAAAAAGAGTAAAACAGTCATAGAAAAAAAGAGAAGAAAGAAGGGGAAAGAGAAGAAAAGCCTCTTCTGTGTTCCAAATGGATAAAGACTTTTTAAAAAGCTATTTAGACCACGAGTCAAAGAAGTTCCATACAGTGCCGTGGCAGCAAGGGATGCCAAGCAACTGAGAGGCCAGAGGTGTGTGAGCAGAGGAGGTGGGCAGGCCACCCAGCTAAAACTTCGCTTAACTTGACCCCTGCGGCTGCTCTGCACAGCCCCGTATCTCATGAGTGTGTGTCACAAAGACCACAAAGGAGCACCACATGCATCTTGTTAGCACTTGCAACCTGGGATTCGGGGGCCTCAAGGTCAAATAGTAGGCTGTCCGTACTTTCCTGGAGGGAGACTCTAAACTGAAGCAAATAATAGCCTTGCGGGTTTAGTGACTTGTTAGCACTGGGGGCAAAGCTGTTTAAATGGCTGTGCCCATCCAAGGTGAGCTTTGCCTCCACCAACGTGTCTTTTCTTGCATAAGACTGAAAAAGAGAGTCAAAAATGAACTGATGAGAACTTAGAATGTTCCCGATGAAGGTGGTGTAAGCATTGCCAGCAGCAAATCTAGCAGGAAGGGTCTACCTCATGTGTGCAGTGGAGAAACAAAATCTTAGCTCCTAAGAGAAGAAACAGCACAGGCCTGAAACCTTAGGCAGAGATGCTCCTATATAATCAGCTAAATGGTCGAATGCCAGAGAGCAAATCAGCTAAACGGTCGAATGCCAGAGAGAGACCTGCTGCCAAATGGCACGGCAATGCTGATCCTGCTCGCCCGGCATTGGGGTTCACGTGCAGAAAGAACTGGCTAAAGCCTGTGAAAACCAGGAAGAACCACTAACGGTGGCCACTGAACATGTGGCTTGTTTCCGACTGCTGTATTTCCAGAGATTACAGATACACATTTGCACTTCACCTACAAAGAAATAATATAAATAGATTCTTAAAATGGTGCTGTTTACAAAAACACATACACACAAAACTTACAACATTCCCATAAAACGCCTTCACATCAAAATCTTAGTCATAAATGGAGCCATCTGTGTTTCCGTCTATGAAGAGAGAACACGCAAGGCTTGCTGTCCTCCCCCTCCACAATACGTTAAATGAATGTCGCTCCCTGCCATCTCACCTCAAGCAGCAGAACAAACTACCTGCAAAGGAAAATCTACCACCATTTTTTAAAAGGAGAAAGCACTTTGTGGCCATCCAGACCTAGAGCAAGGTCCCGCTCCTCTCAGTCCTCAGCTCTGTTCCTTTCCTAGATGTTCTGCTGTTTTCCGTCGGCAATGGATCCAACTGTGCAGTCACAGAAGTCATGGCAGGGCGAGCTGGGCTTGGAAAGCTCCACTAGGTTTCCAGGGCGAGCTGAACAAGTTTGCATTAGTCCTCAATGATTATTGGTTCTTCGTTCACAGGCTGCCGTAGATGCGCATCCTGCAGAGACCGGAGGACAACCGTCTTGTATGGGCGTCTTGCAGCTCGCTTGGCTTCAAAGGAGGAAAGTAATTTGCGGATTTTCCTGTAGGTGAGTGGAAAGAATAAATGGTCAGAAGGTGGATTCTCCCTTCATGCCTTCCTTTCCCATCCTGTTTGTTCGATTGCAACCCTATCTGTACAGCTGAGATGTCTATGAAAACAAGTAATTAGCTCCTGTCCCAGGTGGTCGCGTTTTCCCAGGCACTGAAATACCCCTCCTAAGGCAGGAGAAGACCCAGCTGGCACCCAGCTCTCTTGCGCTCCCCAGACTTCTTTCCAGTGCCCAGCGTGGCCAGGAGGCAGGGTGAACCTAGGCCGAGCCTGGGAATGCTGGGAAATGCTCATGGACCTCCTCTTTGCACAAATCCCTGAGCACCGTGCACACAGCACACGAAGCCCACAAGTCCTGTGTCAGCAGCAGAACTCCGCTTGCATGGAGGGCACATGTGCAGGAGCTGCTAGGTGCCCACATGAATGCTCGCCACGAGGACGGCTCAGGGCAGAGAGGAAGCCAGCCAGAGGCCGAGGAGCTGGGCCAAGGAAGCGGGACAAACGTTCACGCCCGAGACAGGCTCCTCACACACTGCTCCCTGTCCCCGATCCCCAAAACTTGCTCCGGAATATTCCACCTTCCTCTCATGTCTGTGTTCAATGAGCTGCCCCAGTAACGCGGAACGGCCCCCACCCCACCTGAGGCACCCGTCCGCGCAGAGTCCTGCCACCTGCAGTGGGAGACACGTGCACAGCGACCCTTCAGCACGAACAGAGCCAGCCCCACGGACCCCTCCCGCTGCCCGCCTTCCCCAGACCTCTCCAAAGTTGACCTCTCTCGCCTCGGGGGAACCCTGGCTCCTGCTCAGGCTCATGGGACTCCCGCACAGCCGCTCTGTTCCCCAGCACATCGCCATCACAGGGCCTGGACGCGGCCTCTCCTCCCTGTGCTCGCCCACAAACTCCTGGGCCACACCTCTGCGGCCTCACTACCGCCTTCCTTCGCATGCACTTGTCCCTGACACTTGGCCCAGCAGTTAACCCGAGAGCCTCCCCCACCCCAGGGAACTTGGGAAATGGGTGACTTTGTCCTTCTCTGCCCTGAGTGAAGGTTTTCCAGATCTTGAAGAGTTCTCGGGTTTCTGCAGGAACGAGCCAGAGAGACCCTGCAAAAGAGGGGCAAACGGCCTCTTTCTCCAGCCATACCCTGGTCACTCCTCGAGGCTCTCCCTGCCGCATATCCCCCCCCCCCCCCCGGGAAGCAGGCCTTTCTAGAACAGCCTTCTCTACCGCTTTCTTCAGGACCCAAAGACCAAGGGATAAGTGCCGGCCATTTATGCTGCTAATGGCACTATGGGAATACTGGTCCATCCAGCATCCATCAGAAGTCCCTTTATTCCTCCATGGTGACACTCCTCCACCTCCGTCCCATTACCAGCTCACCCATGTTTTAGAAAGGGCAATGGCCATGACAGGACTGCCAGTGGCGCTCTTTTCTCTTCTCTTCTAGACTGGCACAGTTATCTTGGTCAATGTGGGGAAAGCAGAAAGTGAAAGGGCCGGATTAGGTCTGCAACAGTGGGATGCGGTTGGCAAGAAAGTGTGGAGAGACGGATGTGCAGGGGCTCCCACTGTGGAGGGCTCCCTTCAGGCACACGTTCATCTTGCTTGCGAGCGACACTCATCCCCGGACCACGATCATTCAGCTGGACAGTGCAATGCCTGAATGACAATTCTTAAGGGCAAAGTGTGATTGTGGCCATGGTTTCTCCTAGGTCTGGTCTGGACTCTGCAGCTACTGTAGGCTGCAGCTGTGAAGCTAGTCGCAAGCTCGGCCTTTAGACTGCCCAAAACATCCCTCTTAAAAGCACCACACTGGCTGCCAAGAAACTAGTGGATCCCTGCAGAGATCACAGGCCCACAAAGAGTTCTTTTCCATTCAACTGGCTCTAAAATCATCTTAAAATTAATTCTCCCTCATTTAATGGTTAATTCAATATATTAGTTAAATAAATATATTGCAAACACTTTACGATATGGAAATGTAATTCATTGCGCAGCCCCTGGGTTTTGTCTCGAAGACCTCATGTGGCTCATCCCCTTGAGGGGTGAGGAATGAGAAACTGTACTGCCTGCCCTGGCCGAGCCGCTTCCTCAGTCTTGTGCTGCAAAGCCTAGAAGGCCAACTGCACCTCACGGCTCTGGTTTGTTGATGCATAGGTGAGCCTCTTCTCACCTTCCTGGTTGAAAACTAGACAGGTAAAAAACTTGAGAGCAGAGGTTACCTTGACATGCCTGGCCTTGGTGACCACCACCCATCCGATTACCTTCCCAGGAATGGGGTCCCTAAGCAGCTGAGCAGCATTTGACCACAGAATCCATATTCCATAGGGCATTTTTGAAAGCGGGCAAATCAACACGGACTTCAGGTGGTTGGTCACTCTGTCCTCTCTGAACAAGTCATGAACAATGTCTGCCAGCAAAGGACTCTGCCTGGACTGCTGGCTGTAGCAGCCCTTGTGCTCCCAAACAGGCCTGCCTGCTTGCTCACTTATTTATTTATTTTCGATCCTGCCCAATAGTCAGGGCTGTTTAGGAAGTTTACAGCAGCACGTAAAATACAATAGAAATACAAAGTTAAAATGCAGGTAACAGTAAAAAAACTGCACTTGTAAAGCCAATTTTAAAACCAAATTTTAAAAGCTACAATGGCTAACACAAATGACTGGAACTGATCTGGATGAATAAGACAAATGGCGCCTTTAAGGCTGCAGGAAAGTTGCAAGTTGAGACCAATATGAACAATCTCCTCGGCATGTGTAGCAAATTCATTACAGTGGAGTGATACAGCTGCAGGTTTTGGGTAAGACAGTCCAGATTTAGCATGTACTGGGGGAATTGGGACAGAAATAACAAAATGGTTTTATGTCCAATGGATCCTGACTTTTGCATAAGTACAATAAAATATTTCACTGGAAACATTTGGCTAATCCTACATAGCTGGCGTTCTGACCTTACTGGAGTGCATGGGCTACCTGGTCTCCACACTGGCTACGTAGAAAACATCATCCGGAGCATCAATCCAGTTCATCCTCCTCCTCCTTTTCACTGGGAACATGGCTCCACCACGGATTAACCGGACTTTTGTTGGGTATGATTTCCCACTGAGCAGCAAGTTTTGACTTGTTCCCTAACATAACATATAAAACAAATAAACAAAAGATGTTATAGATCCCCATAAACCAGGGAAAATAGCTTTGCTGGAACAAGGCAAACCATGGTTTCTGGGTGTGCCAACGAATGGATTTTTTCCTTCCTACTGTAGATGCTGCTAATCATGGAAGGCCGAGAGCATTCCCCAGCCCCTTTTCTCACCCCTGTCAACAGAAAGGACTGACTCCTCATTGACACTGCTAGAGTAGAGTGAAAAAGAACAGTAGCATTACCAAAAAGAAAAAGAAAATGCAAGGAGGGGGCGGCAAACAAGAACAAAAACCAACAAGATGCACCAGAAACCGTCTTAACCAAACAAGTAAGTGGGACTATTCCCCAAAAAGATTTCAGAACTGATCCCAGCCCCAGCATTGGACAGCTGCTTCCAAATGAGGCGTCCATCACTACTCTGTGCACCTGGCTTACAGAATTTTATGGAGAGTCCAGCTTAAGCCACCTTTCCCTCACAATCCTCCCAGGTCTTCCCACAACTTCTTTTTTCTTACGATAGGAACATTTTTAAAGGAGAAAAAGGGAAGAACTGCTACACAGCACCTACTATAGGTGATGACCTATAAAGCCCTAAACGGCTTGGGTCCTGGTTACCTGAAGGAGCGCTTACATCCATATATGCCCGGCCACCCCTTGAGAACAGCGGGAGAGGCCCTTCTCCGGGAACCCTCCGTGAAAGAAATTAGGAGGGTGGGTACTCGGAGGAGGACTTTCTCTGCGGTGGCGCCTAAGTTATGGAATGCGCTCCCCGCCTGGTGCCGTCGTTATTTGTTTTTCGGCGCCAGGCAAAGACCTTTTTAAGTGGCATTTTAATTGTTAATATTATTGGTTTTTATCTGGCCAGGGCGGCTTATTTTATATTGGTATTTTTGTATTTTTAACTTAATGTTTATATTTTTTAATTTAATGTTATAATTATTTTTTAACTTATTGTTGTAAGCCGCCCCGAGGCTTCGGCGAATGGGGCGGCATAAAAATGTTTTAATAAATAATAAATAAATTAATACTAAGTGTTAGCACTAGGGGCCTTCCACCTGGAAGCAACCAAAGTGACAGGATGACATTCTGCCTCCCCTGAGAACAGGAATTTAGAGTAAGAAAAGAGATTGGATTTCTCTATGGTAATCCATACTGATTTTGATTTATGCCTCTCTCTTCAACAAGTTCCCATGGGTGGGGGAGTTAATGCAAATACAAATAATAATAAGTTAATTAGAATAAAAACATTAAAATACTCTAATATAGAAGGACAACCAGTGGAATTCAAAACAAATGTGAAGTAGCATAAAATAATGTACACAGAAATTAATAAGCCTGGGAAAACAAAATGTTTTTGACTGGCACTGAAATGAAGAGGTGACACTCTCTAGGGAGAGTGGCTCAGAACCGAAGTGACTCAAATGGGGTGGGTACCCGAAGAAGGCTCTCTGTTAAGAGCTGGTTCCTGACTCCTACTTGAGCAGATCAGAGAAATCTGCCCCAGCTGGTCTAGGGTCTGCTGTGCGCCAGCAGCCCAAGCTCCCAAAGTGGGAGGGATCAGAGTTGGCAAACAGGGATGGCTAACAGGAGTTTGGCAGGGAAGAGCAGGAGGTAGGTCTCCATTTTTTTTCCTGATTTTCTTTTCTTTTTCTTGTTTTCTTCCTTGTAACACGCTCTCATTCACTAGTAGCACTGTGCTGTTAATCTTCAGGGAAGCCAGAAGGCGGCACTGGTGATTACAACAGGACCAGCAAGGTAGATCAAAAAGGCAGGGGAGGGTGTGGACTGAGAAGGCTTTGCAGTGGCGGTGACCTTATGTCTCTGTGATGCCTGTCTTCTTACCCGAGGTCAACATGGCCTACGCATGCACGGTGCAAGGCAGTAGCCCTGCTGGAAGAAAAGGCGAGAGCACTGGAGCAGCCAAGTGCCCACCCTCGATGGCATAAGAGAAGACGAAGAGTTTCTAGACGGGGGTGGAACTGCAACAGTGAAGAGCAGGACAGGAGCTAGCAGTGCAACAATAGGCTAAGGCAGAAGAGGAGAATCTTGAGGGAAGGGGAAATGAGGAAGAAACTCCCTGGGAAAGGAGTCAGCTGCAGAACTGGAAGACACTCTGCACTGGTGGAAGCAGAGGAACTCTCAAGCCACTTCCAGTAACGTGAGGATGAGACTGGAGGCCAGTCTGCCATGGAAGAACTGCGAGTCATCCCACGCAACATGGAACAAGAGACTAAAGGTCAACCAAGTAGTGGCAATGATACCAAAGCCTACAAAAACAAGGAGAGAAGTGTTTTCGTTGTGGGAGACTCTCTGTTGAGTAGGATGGAAACACATGTAGGTTGAAAATACTTGTGGATTTGTCTAGTATGCTGTCTCCCTGGAGGACAAATTTGTGATGCAAGTTAAGGATTGCCAAGGCTCGTAAGAGCTCACTGACACATATTCCCTCCTTCTTACTTCCCTTCCTTCCTTCTTACACATGTGGAACAAAAGACACTGCCAAGCAGAGCTTTTAAAAAATTACATCAGACTTTGAAACTTTGTGGAGGAAAGTCAGGAACTTTGGAGATGATTTTCTCTTCAATACTTCCAGTTCTTGGAAGAGGAATAGACTGCAAAGACTGAATGCCAGGCTACCAAGGTGGTGCTGACATGAGAGGTTTGGACTCTGGGACCATGTGCTACACTTCCTGGAAGAAGGACAGCTGGGAAGGAATGGGTTGCACCTTACTGGAAAGAAGGTGTTTGGCCACAGCATGACGTTTTTCAGGAAGGCTTTATAGTGAATCCTACAGGAGAGGGAGACGTACACTTGGACATAACAACAGGCAAAGGCTTATGCACCACAACAGAGAGAGCAACTCTAACAGTGCCCAATAATAATCTTCCAAAAATGTAGGAGGAAAGCCAGAGTATAAAGCACATGGTCCTTGATGTCTCTGTACTAATGGCTGGAGTATGGGAAACAAACAGGATGAACCCTCAACACAGGAGGGTGAATACAACTGGTAGGTATAACTGGAACTTGGTGGGATGACTCCTGTGACTGGAATTCAACAACTGAAGAATATTACCTGTTCAAGAAGAACAGAAGGAACAGAAAGGAAGGTGGAGTCACACTATATGTTAAAGATACATATCTCTGCACAGAAAATGAGGAGGGTGACCTTAGTAGCCCATTGACAGCACATGGATTAATATAAACGGAACAAAGAATAAAAGGAACACGGTGGTTGGAATCTATTACTGACCACTCAGCCAAGGAGAAGATGAAGATGAAACTTCTGAAAAGTAAATTGCCAGAGTTTCAAGGAGGCATGAAGTCATCGTTCTGGGGGACTTCAATTCCCCTGATATCTGTTGGGAGACAACTTCTGCCAAACATGGCTTCTCCAAGTAATTTCTAACATGTGTTTCTGATAACTTTCTCAAACAGAAGAAACTAGAGGAAGACTTGATATTAACCAACAGGTAAGACTTGGTGGACAAGGTGGCAGCTCTGGGAACGCTGGCACAAGTGACCATGTTATACTTGAATTCTTAATTCTAAAGCAGTGGTCCCCAACCTTCTGGGGGCTGCATTAGAGTGCCCAATGCCTAAAGAGGGCCACATCTTAAATCAAAATGTAACAAAATTATTAACCTACCGATTTAGATCAAAAGTTAGCATTCAGAAGTCAATGAGGAAACGTTAACTTGAATGCCATGCATTTTGGAACAATATTTTACTGTGAAATCCTTTTGTCCAGCTACACATGCTTACCTAGTCAGTGTGATTTTTGTGGCTGTTTTCTGTCAGCCAAGTCATGGTTTGTGAAAGATATGTCACGTACATGTTCATCTGTGAGTCATGACCTACACTTGGATTTCACAATTTTCATCCTGGAAAAAGTTTGATCACAGATGTATGTGGTACCAAAGACCATGGACATTGTATGAACAGAGTCAACTTGTGCCGGGGGACAGACTAGATGTCCCAGGAGGCCACTTCTGACTTGCTATGTTTCTATGTTTCTAACATGCCCACGGCAAATTTTCTTAGATTGATAAATATATCAGGTAGACCACAATAGAAATCTAGCAGACTATTTTATTTGTAAATGTCTCTGATATGATCGCTGGTTTGCAAATCAATTTGTTCCATCTGAAAAAAGCTACTTGCAACTTCTGGTCCTACTTCAAATGAATTCTGAAACATTCTCATTTCCTTTCCATGCTTATGGCAATCAGGAAGTTCTGGAATTCCACTTGCAAAAGGTTCTGTGCTTTATGTGTCTTTCAACACTGAATTGTAAATACCTTTCCTTCTCAAATTTTGGTTCATTGTAGCATTAGAAGTTTGAAAAGTTACTTTCACTAACTTGCTTCAAAAAATGTCTACTTTTGCTTCAAAAGCTTTCAGTTCAGAATACATTTCACATACAAGCTGCGCTTTTCTCTGCAACCTCAGATTCAATGTGTTCAGATGCTCAGTGATATCAGTTAAGAAAGCCCAATCAAAAATCCACCCAGGGTCAGAAGGAACTTCTTGACCTTTTCCTTTCTCCTTGAAAAAGACATCATGACAAAGACGGAAAAAACATTTGAGGACTTCGCCTCTGCAGAGCCACCTGACTGCTGCATGGCTCGAGACATATCTATCTTATGTCTCTATCTCTGAGAAAATGTTGAAACTGACCAGATGTAATTGATGCTGGATACAACAATATACATCACACTTTCCCACTAAAGAATCCGACCACACAAGACTTGCTGATGGATAATGCAGTGAAATTGCATGGGAAGTATACTGCTTAATTTCAGTTGATTAAGTATACTGTTGATTCTTGCACCAGTTTTACTTCCCATCATATTTCTTACATCATGAGTTGTGATGCTTTTCAAGTTATCCCAACTGAGACCAAGATTTTCTACTGATTCACACCTTCAAGAATGTGTTCCACAGTTGTGGTGTCTTACAAATGCTGAAGTGCACACAGTTCTTCTGTAATTCTGAATTTGGAATCTATCCTCCAATAAATATTAGTAATTGAGCAGCATCTATTATGTCCTTGCTCTCATCTAATGCCAAAGGAACAAAATCTAGACTTTTGCCTTGACAGTCGGTGACATATGCCTCTCTTCTCCTAGCGCTTCAACATGCAGATAAACTGACACAACTAAGATGCCTCGTCAGTGCACACGTTAAGACGCACTTCCACCATGCACTTCTCAACAAATTCACCATCAGGGACTGGCCTGCCACTCTCAGCAGCCTGTTCAGGAACACGGCAGGTCACAGCCAGCAGGTTCTCCTCGACAGGCTTTCCAAAAGTATTTTCCTGCAAAAACATTGGGTATTTAGGAGAATTTATCTTGCTCACTCGCACCTCTCCTCGATTTATTGAGTAGCTTTTCTGACAGGATCCAATGCGCCTTTTAACGTTGTGCTCCGTTAATACTGAAACAGTGTCAAGACATGGCAGGCAAACTGCTTCATCCTTGTTTAAAACAAAGAAGTCCCCAATAGTCCATTTGTCGTTAAAGACATGGTGCTCATCTGCAATTTTTTTGCTTCTTTGAAACCACACTCTTTTGCAGACTTCTTACAGAATTTTTAGCAGAGCAGCAGTTGCAGAATTTCAATATATTTTTGAATACATGAAGATGTAAGTATAGTTTTAGGGATCTAACTCTTCCCTTTCCCATCAAATTCACCCCACTTTGGCTGCTTTTAGCGGAGGATTTTCATTTTGATCATGGCAAAGGAGAGGCGCCCCCGCTTCTTCAGTTCTCAGGAATATTGGGCCAAATGCACAGGCTAGGAAGAATTTTTTAAAAGTGGATAATGAATCCGACCTACCAGATGGCAGAGTTGCAGTCCTAAGTACACTGAATGCTATGAGATTTATTTCTTCTTATACAAACGGCCTTGAAATCTACACATGCTAATACTTCAAAAAGGGCCGAGAGAAAGAGCTAATGAAAGGGCAGCCTTCCACCTGGAGCGGAGGAGATGCCATTAGGTTGGCTTCCGCTTATATGCGGGGCCTACACGCGCATCACTGCCTGCCAGCCAAGCCTCAGTCGTGAGAAGCCAAATGGCAGCTGTGGAAGGGAACCTGGCTGGAGGAAGCGGTGGGAAGGGGCCCCTATACGCTTCCCTGTGAAGACATACTCCTTCCCACCAGACCCAAGGGGCCGCACACCGGCTCCCACAAGCCCCATTGCGCGAGAGGATTTCTGGCTGGAATGGCAGGGGTGGGGGAGGCAAAAGCAAGCGAGGGGAAAGTCGGAGCAACCTGCCCTTGCTGAGGAAGGAAGCAACCTCACCTGAAACTCTGGAAGCCACTTGGAGGAGCTTTGACAGGTGCAGCCTCTAGAAATGTTCAGTGTGCAAAACGCTTTGTATTCTTTCGCAAAGATACTTGACTGCCCCTCCCCTTTCCCCGACTGTTTTGCAAAAGCAGGCCAGACCTCTCTGGAGCCCATCCCCACAGCTGCCCTGTCTGGCCCACACACATACATAGACTTCAGCATGGTAATGCCTGGAATGAGGAAGGGACCACCTGAGTGGTACGGGTGCCTGGGTTCCACTGGCTAGCAAGGAGCCCAGAATGGCCAGCATGCTCGTGTGGAGGACAAGATCCAGAGGGGACTGGCCGAAGGCACCATGGAGCCCATTGTTGGTGTGTTTTTTGTAAGAAAGGGACGAGAAAGACAGCAGTCGGTGGCGCCGTTAGAGGCAGGAAGAACAGTGTGGATCTGAGGGCAGACCAGTCTACCAAGAGACAGTCCAAGCAGGCAGCATGGAATCTGTTTGTTTGTTTAATTCATATATATGCTGCCCAAGGGCCAAGGAATTGCAGGGATGGTGACAGGATGACATAATATAAAGAGTTCAATTAATGCTTCTCTTAGAGCACATTTTAACAAACTTCCGTGCAACTGGTATTTAACTCCTTGATGATTAGAATACATCTACCATCCTCAGATTTATGTTGGAAATGTCAGACTAGAGCAGCTGACATATCAGACATTTAGGGTTTAAACTGACCCACAGTACTGGTTATGCAATACCGTATAACTTCAAGCCTGCATTGTTTAACTTTTCAAAAGGTCTCATCTGATGGAAAGATATTGATCATAACTGACAGAATCTGTATAGAAGCTAGAAGAAAATTCCCACCTCCCAAATGTTAGAAAGGTTTAAGTAAAATTTGCATTGTTGCCTGCCTGTGTAAACAGATGGAAGAAGATCAGAAAAATGATTTTAACATGTATTTATTATTGAAAGTGTAATTTTCAAGAAAAGGTATTTCCATATTCCTTATCATCTTCTATCCTTTACAACTTTAAAGTAATATATGTTATGGCTAAAATTGTTATTATTACATTTTTATCCTGCCTTTTTAACTCCATTTTTCAGTATGTTTAACTATTCTATTATGGTATCGGGACTGTTTTCATACTGAATTTTATGGTTATACTTCTAATCAACTGAGAAAACATCTGACCAGGCTGAGCTGGTTGCTGCTTTTGGTTATCCCAACAACAGACATCACAACCTTTGGAAAAGTCCGGTTTTTCTCACTCACACCTTGTCCCAGACTGCACCCCTGAGAACTCACTGAGAGGTGCAGAGAACCACCTGGGACCTCTTTCAGCAGAGGCTTGTTCTGATCCTCTCCCTCCCTCACCTCTCTCGTTTTATTCACGTGATGCTATATTGCAACAAAATCATGGTTACTCATTTTTAACATGAAATTTGATATTAATATAATCACGTTCTCTCTTTATCAAATAATTAATGTCCTGAGATCTGTTTATTCACTTAAGGATATGGGGGGTGCTTTGCTCCTGGTATTTTATTATGCACAGCATTAATACAGGACAATGTATTAATAGGGTGATCATTCTTTTTCTGGCTCACAGTAAAAGCCAATTAAAAAAAAAAGAGTTTCGGGGATCCTCGGGAGATCCAGTGTGGCGTTGTGGTTAAGAGCATGGGACTGGGACTCAGAGGATCCGGGTTCTAGTCCCTGCTCAGCCATGGAGCCAACTGGGTGACTTTGGGCCAGTCACAGACTCTCAGTCCAACCTACCTCACAGGGTTGTTGTGGGGATAAGATGGAGGAGGAGAGATGATGTAAGCTGCCTTGAGCCCTTTGTAGGAAAAAGACAGGATATAAATCGAAAAATAAATAAATGAATAAATAAACCCTAAAGCTCTTGTCACAATGGAAGGTGAATATTTTGAGCCCTTGAGACTCATCGTTCCCAGTTGAGAAATACAGGTTTCAAACGCATCATTATTTTTTAGTTTTGTGAACATTAAGAAGCTACATTTGTCTGGAGCTACATTTTGTAAAACTTAAAGTACTTATCATTCTCAAAGTCAAGTGGGAGTAAATGTGTGTGCTGAGAAATCCTGGGTGAAGGAAAGCTGTGAAGAAGAAACACACTTGGCAAGCCCACTGCCTGCCCCTCCTTCATTCAGAAAAGCATGTCCTTGAGAGGCAGCACGAGACACTGCGCCGTCTTGCACTTTACGGCAGCCGAGGACAGCGGGCCTCCCACATGCCTGCCTCTTGGTGGGACTGCAAGCTGATTCAGGCAGCAGGCTAGGCACCCAACGGCCAGGCTTCCGGTGACGCACAATCCACTCGGGAACCCCTTCGTACCAATCTCCTCTTCAAAACTGAGGACTGTCTTCGCTACAACTCATATGTCCAGTAATCGCTTCACATGACACCCAAGTCTATTTACTGATAAACCCACTATTTTTCTCTAGTAGTTGCCATTCACAATTCTAGGCAGAAATAAATCAAAATACCATAGCTATTCCTATTCCATTCACCAGAGCTGCTTCCTTCAAAGAAATACTATAAGGAGTAGTAGAAGTCAAAGATTTATGCTGATGCAGACCTTTAAGGTTCTGCAAGTGCTCTATGAAAGCCTACATATTATGTAGGTGGCACAGAAACCAACATAATAGTATTTTTCTGCATGGAAAAACAATCCCTCTACATTCATGCTTTTCATGCCAGACCTGTCAGACTGGCAACTTGGTTCTATCCACTGAGAGCATCTCTTAGTTGAAAGGTTAAGGATATAAAACTTCTCCCCAGGTCATCCTAGTAAGCAGCGATGCACCTTGGGACTGAATTTCAGGCACAGCAGCTGATGGGACATGTGCCGGCAGTTCGAGGGCTGAGTGGCGAGCATGGAATCTATGATAAAGCAGAACCCACTTGATTGTCTGCTGGCTAGATCATAGTATAAGAGTGAAAATCATGATAACCATGCAGTGTTGCTTGTCATGTTGTGTGAATGCAGTCAGACACACAGGGCTGGATCCAACATTCATGCAAGCAGAGGCTGGCAAACATGCTAGGTCTTCCTAAACCTTTCTCCTCCTACCACTCCCCATGCATACTGCAGACCTGTTCTCATGGCCCCAACAACCATCTAGAACAGTTTGGGGAGGTGCAGGGAAAAAGGAGGAGATCTGTTCCACCAGTGGTTTCTCCCATTGCTGGAATGTCACAGTAGATACAACCCATGTACCTTGTTCATTCAGTGAAACCACATTTTTGCCTATTTCATGATTTTGCTATTATCAGCAACAGCAGTGGCCATTTTGCAAGAAGGTGTCTGAATAAAAAGAAATTGATCTACTTTAAATAGAAAGTGGCAAACTTCTTTATCATACCTTTTAGTTTTATTGCTTCCTTTTTATCTGAATAAACAGTCAAGTAACAACTGCGATTATAGCAGAAAAAAAGCACCAGGAGACTTAACTACACCTTCAAGCTGTCTACTGCTAAGAGCTTGGGATTGGTGGTGTTTACTGTATTTTTTTTAAGGAACATTCTCTTACCATTTGTCTGTTTTGTCCGTGGTTAGGCAGACCTAACAAACAGGAAAGAGAATAGAGCTCGTAAGACACCATTGATTTCCAAGACAAAAAAAAAGAAAATACAAAATCAAAACAGCACGTCTATGTTTGTAAATGTCTAACTTGCCTAAAGAGGAGTTGCTTTCACATTTGCTTCCTTTAATAAACATCTGAGATTATTTCATTAAATGACCTAAAAGCAATTCCTAAAGTATTTAATTAGACTCTCTGTTTACATTCAGTGCAGGGAAAACAGCAAGAGATCAGGAACGTGTGCCCCTGTTGCAGCAAAGCACTCCTTGGTTTGCTGGTTTCCTCGTCCTTGCCTCTCAGGCTGAAGCTCAGTTTGGAACGGTTCATCTGAGGCCGTGTGCTTTCTTTCAGGGAAGACGAGGGTGGGGGCATTCCTGCTTCTGCCTGGAAGCCTCAAAAAGGAGGTAGGCAGTGAAGCTTCAGTCTCAAACTAACCCTTGGTTTTAAACAGGAATATGGTACTTTGTTTCTAAGTGCCATGGGGAGTAAATGAAGGATATATGTTAATCATCCAGTTCTCTTCCAACTGAGCCAAGAGGGTAACAAGGTTCTTGATGTAATCAGTTAGGTCAGAAGAAGGAAGATTTCAGCCTTGCTCCATCGATACTGTTTAATTAAAACTCTGAGGTCCGACAATCAAATCCAGGTGCAAAGTGCTGTTTGAAATAGGCGGACACACACTTAAGAATTAAAGGGCAGGGTACCTCACTGCGCATGTTCACCACAGAGCTCTGTTTTGAGTGTAAGAACCGAGTTCACTCTTTTCACATGAAAATCCACTGCAGCTGAGACTCTTCATGCTCTTGCTATTATCATGCAACCCCAACTGCCCAGCGATCCACCAGATTTCAATCCATCCCTGAAGCAAAGGAACAGTCCATCTAGTTCAGCCCCATGTTTCTAACAATAGCCAGGCAGATGCTGCTGGAAAACTCACAAGCAAGATATAAAGAAGCAACCCTCCACAGAAACAGCTCTGCATCTGGTTCACCCAGATTTACACCCTGACCCCTTGCGTGCCTTCACAAAACGAGAACACATCTTGCTATCATTGGCTAGCCCTGATTTCTCCTAGGTCTCAACTTGCAAGCTCCCTTGGATCAAAAGGGAACCTGAGCACCAGGGCAAGATGACACTTCCCTGCTGCCTTCCCATTTCCCCCGTTGCTGTTGTGACTCTCATTGTAGATGGTCTCAGTGGGTGCCTTCAGTGCCACAAGTCCTTCCTTAAGGCTGAGTACTGTGGGGGGGGGGGACCACCCTGGCCTCCAGGGCTGTCTTGCCTACAGCGCCTCATTTGCGGGAAGGACCCTACACAGCGAGGCATCATTTTGCATGGGGGTGAGCATTCAGGAGCACTAAGCAGGCCTTCCTGCTGAAGCAGGAACGATGCTGGTGGAGATCCCCAGGTTGTTAGCCCGAGGCCTCTGTATGAAGGATCCCACCTCAGAGCAAGGCAATGGACACATGCTCCTGGGAGCCCTGCTGCTTGCTTTCTTGCAAGAATATGGTCGGCGGGGTTCTCTGGAGCACTGGCCCAGCATCTCATTCTGTGGAAGGAATCATCAGGCAGGAGAGCTGTGCCAGCTGCTTCACTGCTTTATCTGGAGCAGCCACCTTCCCACTCTAAGGAGTCTTCCCTCAAGGTTCAGCTCATTATCAAGTGGTTATTAAGTGGCAACAGGACAGAGGTAGCACATCTGGCAGTAGCAGGAAGTTTGAAGTGCTGCCCCTTCCAAACTGCTTCCTAAGGTGAAGATCTCACCCTGCTTCACAGCAAGGCTGGACCTATTTGGTTTACACCTACCTGATGAACTAAAGAAAGGCACAGAGCTTCTAGGAGAAAGAGCTCAGAACAATTTGTTCCATTTATGTTCATGTGCCCCTTCTCGGATGCACACCTTAATGTGATGAGGGCGATTCAGAGCATCAAAGAACCTGAGAGCAATGCTGCCAGGAAGGTAGACTGTCCTGTTGGGCTGCTCTCCCAAAGTGGAACTATCAAAGTGGAGACACCAGACTAAGTTACATCCTCCCTCTTCAGGAGTTACGGTTACAGAATGGATAATCTCTAATGATGATGGTGGCACAGAAACTTCTGGGCAACAGCAGTAGTTGAAGATGACACTGGCAGAAGATCTTTCAGAGATAACAACAATGTCGCTCAAGCTAACTCTGGTTAGTACTGCACAGAGGAAGTCAGAGGTAAATCACCCCTGAATTTTCTTACCTTGAAAACTATGAAGAAACAATCCAAAATGAAACAACAGATAGTGCCAGGAGGTGAGGCTCCCAGGTCAGAAGGCACTCAACCAGCTACTGGGGAAGAGGAAAGGACAAGTACAAATAGCGCTATCGCCAATGACGCAACTAGATCAAAGCTGAAAGGAAGTCTAGAGACTGAAATACACAGGGGTCAAAGGAAAGTACAATGCTACACAACACAAACAAATGGAACACGGAACATAAGCACTATGAATCAAGGCAAACTGGAAACGGTAAAGCAAGAAATGGAACAGTTAAGCATTGCAGTACCTGGTGAGAGCTAACTGAAGCGGACTGAAATGGGCCCCTCTGGAAATGAGGAACTCGGAAAAAACATCCTAATTCTGAGGCAAGATGTAGCACAGGCAGGAAGGGCTATCATGCAAATTCTGACTGAATCATAGCAATCAGAATTCTCAGAAAACTTATCAACATAGCCATCAATCAAGTCTACACTCCAACAACAGATGCTGAAGAATAAATTATAAAAGCAACTTTTATATAGGTATCCAAGAGGAAATGGATAACACACCAAACAAGGCATGCTGGTCGTCGTGGGTAACTGGAATGTAAAAGCAGGAAACAAAGCAGAATCCAGTGCCGAGGGGTAAGAAATGAAGCAGGAGAACAACTCATAGAATTCGGTGAGACCAACTACCTGTTTATCACAAATACATACTTGTAGCAACTGATCAGATCATAAACATCACCAGGTGGCCAATATAGAAATTAAACAGACTATGTCATTGGAAGCAAGAGATGCAGAAGCTCTATTCTCACTGTCAAAACAAGACCAAGACCAAGAGTGGTAATGACCATGAACTCTTAATATCAAAAAATCAGAGTCAAGCTGAAAACAATCACAAACAAAAGCACAGTCTAAACAGAATCTGAATAGCATTCCCGAGGAATTTCATGTTCACATAAAGGACAGATTTCATTACTGAAGTCAACCGACTGTGAGCCAAAGATCTGTGGACTTTGTTAGGGAAGATGCCAAAAGATTGTTTCTATTGCAAAAGGAAAGAAAAAGTATAGAAGGATGACACCCACCCAGAAAACCCCACAATTGCTAAGGACAGGCAAGAAGCAAGAACAAAAGGTGAGACAAAATTGGAATCCTGAATTTGTTTCACATAGACATGTTTGTTTCTATGTTTCTGAACAAACCCTATTAAAATGACCAAAGAAACAGAAGAGAACTGCAGAAAAGGAAAAGCAAGAGACCTCTTCTAAAAGATCCAAGCAGTCAAAGGCAAATTAAACCTAGACTGGGAAGACTGCAAAACTAACAGAAGAACATACTCTTTGACCAGGAGAAAATCAAGAGACAGTGGAGACAATGCAGGAGTATATGGAAGAAAGGATGAGAGACTCATTCAAGGAAGGTGCCGTGGTGCACTTGCAGGTGTGCTAATGACATTTGCTTTGCAATTCATTGCTATACGTATTGTCCTGTAGTGTTTTGTGTTCTTGCATTTTCTACTGAATAAAAGCTTTTGCTTTCACCCATTAGTGTGTTAATTTTTCTGAATCTCAAGATAAAAACATATTCTTCAACCGCTAGCAATCTCTGAAAACGTATGCTTACCTCAGGATGTTTCCATGAAAGGTCCACAAATGGATACTCAACCTCAGCTACAGAAACACACTGTGGCTAAAAGTATTATGGGGAGCAGACCTGAGCACAACTCTAAAGTAACCTCAATGGTACAGACTCTGATCTACCCTCCCGCTTTGTCAAGAACAAGGAAAGCCACAATGAAGGTAATTCACCAAAGATGCTTCACCCCGAATAAAATACACCGTTTTAGCAAAAATCTTCCATCATTGTGCCAGACAGGGTGCGGCCTCATTAGACCACGGGTCCTCAAACTACGGCCCGGGGCCGGATCCAACCCACCATGCCCATTTACCCAGCCCACCATGCCCATTCAGACCTGCCGCGCGTGCACCCACGCCCGCCACCGCCCACCTCGGCCTGTGCGCGGGAGGCAGCGGTTTGCTCCCTCGGAGAAAACGGTCTCCAAGTGGGCAAGCCGCTGCCTCATGCGCCCGACTGGCGGTGCATGCCTGCCCCTGCCTCACTGCACGCGCCCTCATGTGCCACCCCCGCCCCTTCGCTGGCCCATGCCCACAACCAGGCACCACCTTTCTGGCCCGCGCCCGGCACCTGCAGCTTTCAACTGGACCCCTGGTCAAAAGGTTTGAGGACCCCTGGTATAGACTTTCTGAAACTACTTTTTATAATGTGTGAAATAACGGATTAGCAAATTAAAAACTGTAGAACCCTACTATTATTTCCAATTTTTCAAAGAGGAAAATGGTTGTCATGCTTGCAGCTGCCTAAGTTGCGATTGCATTAAGCTGGAAATCTACTGGACTATCACTACAAAAATGAATTAACAAAATTTGGAAAATTGCTCTTGAAAAACTGACATATAGACTGAGATTTATAGAAGGCCTGGAAAACTGAAATCTATGCATGGAAGTGGCCACCCCTGCTGCTCCTTCTGCACAATTCCAAGTTCTGGACTTATGAATTGTGATGCTGCCTGCTGCGTAACCTGCATCTCTTTTGTTTCTGCATATTATAATTCAACTCAATTAGTAAAGTAAAAGAAAAAATGAAAAGAAGCCAATAACAAGAACAGTATTATGCAAGTTGTAATAAATGTTTTCAAGTGATCATCTCTAGCGATTATTTGAGAAAATAC